AGTGCCAAGTTTCAATTTATCGCCTACTGTAAAAAATAAAAACTGTTATAGATAGAGTACTAAACACTGTTTCCTTTTCTCCCCTTCAGGAAAACACCCAGAATTCTATTCCGTGAAGCAAAAAGCACAATTTGTATCAAGACTCAATATCAATGATGACAATTAAACTGTTTGTTTGTGAGGGCTTGGTCCGCGCTCTCTGATTTCTGCCATTATACCCAATACACGCTCTTACGGAGCTCTTGTTCTGCCTTTCTTCACGGTGACTGTTGCTCAGTGTGTCCTCAGGTTGCACTACTCGTAGATGATTTAACTAGCGCCAAAGTGCTGTTAATAACAGAGATATGGTTTCCTCAAGATTTGAGATGGGAGCGGATCAAGCAATTAACAAAAAACAGCTATTAAGAACGTACACCTATACAGTTTTATGAACATTATTCCTAAATCGTTTAGGATACAGTCATTTATAGAAGGGTTTAAAGTGCTAAAATCACTGCCAAAAGTGGTGAACAAATACTTAAAATAATTTGGATGATACAAATGAACTGATCTTCTCATAAAAATGTCCAAAATTTATTTTTTTATTTCGATTTACAGCTTGATTCCACACCGTATTTTCAGTACAAGTATGGAATTTTCAGCATGGATATCGGTAGCCCAAATTTACAGGCCGACCATAGATATCGGGTGTGCGCCGGCAGGGGATCGAACCCCGGACCATGTGCATGGTCGGCGAGGGTCCTAACCACTGTGCCACCGACGCACAACCTCGACAGCAAGGACCCTCTCGATGATGAATGCGACATGAGTGAATAATTAGCATTGCAATATAACGCTGCAGTTTCAGAAAAAACACAAATGCACTGCGAAAATGATAAGCACCGGCACATTATTTAGGAGGTGAGTTGCAACTCTTGGTTATTCATAAGATCCGCAGGCTGCTTAAAGAAGACTTTTTTAGTTTGCTGATAATACTGTCTGCAAAATTACTAACTCCAAGCGACTCACTACAAATGTCAGTGTGAAGTTTAACATTTGACATGGTACCGTTACTTCAGTAGTAAACAGTAACACGCAGCTTTCCGTTTGTACGTAGGATGAAACCAGAATAGTGTTGAACTGATCCATGTGGAATGATGAATGGGACATGCAAAAAGTGAATATTACCCATATCAGACAGTAATATTTGCGATGGAACCTTCTGCATTTCATAATTATTTGATTGGTTGGAGGATTTCATCATGAGCTGACATCAGTTAGAGAACCATTGGAAAACCTAAGAGTACTGGACAGCTGTTTAGTCCTAGTTCGGGACTCTGCAGCAGTACGCACACACCGGGGTTCGAACCAGTACTCCCAGGTTTTCCAAAGGTTCTCTAACCGATATCAGCTCATAATGAAATCCTCCAACCAATCAAACAAAATTCCCTACAAAAACCAATACTTCGAAATCATTATTATTTCATCAGTTTTCTAAATTTATTGGCGCTGACAGGTGGTAAAACGACTTGAATATTTTCGAGGAAATAACAACCAACAATTGTCATGAACGATGGGTGAAGATAAAAGCTGTTGAAAAGTATTTCCGCGTATAGTAAGGAAAACACCACAAAAGATATCCAAGTTGTTTAAAAAGGTCGATATTACACATTTAAAAGGGCCGAATGTAAAATCCGATCTGACCACATCATTTCTCTTGGCACGTAACACACAACCAACTAACTTAGGCAATTCAAGTCATAACTGACCGCCTCTATTATATCTATGCATGTGTACTGAGACGAAGGCGAGGCACGTTTGATCTGCACTAACTTATATCCTTTCTCATCTACCAACGATGTAAAATCCTGGTTAGTTTGTGTTGGTAATCCATAATGACAATTTTATGAAAATATGGAGTGAAGATTGACAATTATCTGTAACTCATGATGATGATTTATGTATAAATACTGAAAATATAACGGTCGAAGTACATTGTCTAATACCATATGCATTCAGGAAGTTTGTGTTATTCAGAAAAGTTAACCAGCAAAAGCGGTAATTATGAAGATCCAACAAGTGACGTTGAACAGTACTTAAGAAGTAATCAAGAACTCTCATCACTTAGAAATGGGTTTATTTAAAGTAGTGCACATTCAAAAATAAAATTTGGTCTAACTAATCACTGACCATGTGCATGAGTACAAATGGTACGAAAACAGAGAAGATAGTAGATGTGGGAAATGTTGTAACTTGAGATGGAAGCCAGAAGTACTTTTCTCATGGAAGATGTTTGAGTATGCAGCATACAACCAACATGAAGTTTAGTGTTGTTTTAAGAGTGTAACGACAGAAGACAAGGGCCAGGCAACAGATCGTTTATTGAGGAAATCAAGAGATATTTATATATATTTTATGTACATTATTATTCGTAATTATTAACAGAGAAACAGTGTTTTCTGATTGGTTGTTTTCTCACTGAGTTAATCTGTCATCTCTTAGTGCCTGTTTCTTTGAAGGTCAAATCATATATCTGCGAATCGTATCCGCCCACGCAAAGTCTTTGTTCTTGTTTTTCTCATCACCAAGATTTGAGAAGTGAACATCGGCGTAAATTGCTGTCTACCAATTTCAACTAGCAGGAAGCTCTCACCACAAGAGAATACATATTAGTTATAAAACAATGTACGAAGAAAAATAACACTTCTTAAGAAAAGAGTGACTTTTAAATGACTTGATAAAGCATTTAGATATTAGTCGTCAGCATAAGATTTTTCGTGAAATTGGTGGTATTAACTTGAGAATGACTGGATGATACAAAAATGAGATTTAAGGTAATACCTTGAAACCATGTATTATAAGTGATGATATTCGTTTTAAATGAAGAGATTCGACTTGCCTACACCACTGTGTTAAATACTGTTGCATTCATCTTATAAGTAACATTGAGGTAATTGAAAGACTTAAATCGTGGTATGTCATATAACCTATTATTACATCATATTCAAGTTTTATAATAAATAGGAAGTCGGGAAATATTTTGGAAACAATCAGTTGTATTCCTTATAAAAAGCAGTGCTATGAAACCCAGTCACGTTTGTCGTCACTACTGACTGCTTCTACTGTTAAGCCAGATATATTTGATAATCTCTATTTCTATGAAAGTGGGACTTTTGCGTGCTGTATTAGTTCCCATATATTCAAGCTTATTAGCCCAGCTGCGCACATTATTTGTTCAATTCAAGCAACCTCATCGCCTATTTATGTAAAATTAAATTTTAACAACCGATTCTAATTAAGACCTAACAATCAGTCAGATTTTATGAGATTATAAGTTACCAGGAAGATTTTTATTTCACTTACAGTAGTTTTTGAAATCCTCCCTTATTTCAGTACATCCAATGAACGTTAAGAAGTTTTCGGAATAGTTGTGTTCTCTGACCTTAGTTGCGGAGCTTTTACTACCTTACTAGACACAATCCTCAGTGCATACTTCAGTTTGAAGAGAGCTTTTAATATTCTCCACGAGTTTATTAGTCATCTCTTCAGGTAATCTTGAACGCGTTTGGTTGTTTTTTGTGTATTTTCTCACTCTCTAGTCCACTTGTATTGAGCTGAAGTTTGACTTCCTTCTAATGGATTGCTGAATTTTGTCTATGTCAGTGTGTCTATTGATTGCCGAACCATTTGAATACAAGGCTTCTAGGATTTCTCTGGCATTTCTTGTGGGAGAATCGAACATTTTCTTAATCTAACTGGTATCCGTAGTTGTCTGTCTGTAATGACATGAGGGAGTGGATATCGTATCTTTTGATGACCAATTTATGTTCATGGATGCGAAGATGAAAAACGAATCCACTTTGACTAATGTAACGTTTTTCACAGCTGCTGTAATTTATTTTATAGATGATGTTGGTTTTGTCTTCTTCCTCTGTTGAGTCTTTTGGTTGACATAGAGACATCCGAGTGGAGTAATTTTGTTGGTTTGTGAACGACATCAATTATAAAAGATTTGAATAGTCTTGTAGTGATTCCGGAGATGTTCTTTACATACGGTAGGACAATTTTCTTTGTGTTTTCATTAGGGGCCTTTGATTTGATTGGGGGTAGTAGTATAGTCAAGTGAGCGGAAATGTATCAGCTAATATTTTTAACCTTTTGCTCACTCCTAAAGTTACACAACCCCAAGTTAATGCCACAGGTAAGAATATAACTTCTGACTTGACTGACTGTGTATGGCATAGATTCTTATTAGAACTCAGGATTTTAACCTCATTTAATTACTGAATTGTTTACATTATTATATTATCTTCATTATCATTGACCTAATTATTATCATCATTATTACTGCTATTATTATGATCACTATTATTGCTGACATATTCATAACGTTAAACACTTATTATTTTTGATCCACAAACTAACCTTCATTGGTTAAAATTCTAATATTAAAAGCTTTGTACATTAAAGTCTGAAGATCTAATTGTTTGTTTAAATGTCTTATTTTAATTTTAACAATGGAAATATTTATTGATAAGAATTTAGGAAGTCCTATCTAAACTGCTACTACTCAAAAAAAGGAGTGATTTCTACCTACTGAGGTAATATACCACATATGTTAACTAAATAGACAACATGAACTTTATGTCTCATATTTTAGTGAGCTCTTTTTGCATTAGTTGACATAGTCCTATGAATCCTATACATTATAGTCCTATTCTAAATGTATATTGAAAAAATAACAGCAGATGAAAATTACATGGCTCAAGTAAATCATTCAACGTAACACGAACTAAGCAATTTATCAGTGGAATAGATCCTATCGACAATACAAATATTTTCATGAATTATAAACTAAGGTAAGTAATTGTCAGATCCTAGAACTAACATTCTACATCAAACTCCCATGAAAATGTGTTATATATACACAACCTGGAACTCAAATGTAATCGAAATGTTAGAGGTAAAACACAATAAATAATTCACACCACCACCCACCCGCAGAAAAATCCTATTTTATGTTGAAAGTGAAATTAAAAAATTCCTTTTATTAAAACGTTTAGAAAAATATAAAGTTGGTGTACAGTAACATAATATTATGTTAATCATTCAATTTATAATGCGCAGTAACTATGGCTAGGAAGAGTTCATGAGTAGAATAGAAGCATAATAGCGTGAATAATCTTGATTGTTTTCTAGATAAAATTTTAAAAAATTTTGGATAATGATGAAGTTGAATAGTATCATAAATTCTTATTGACTTCAGCTGATGAAAGATTATTCAAAATGTCTTTTAAACAACTTAAAATCTGAGTGAATTTAGGGCGTTCACGACGTTTAGAAGACCAACATTTCATCATCAAGTGATAAACAGATTTCGGGCAATGAGATGGACATGCCAAACGATCACCACGTTCCAAAATGCTGACAACCTAAATATTATTAATATTAATATACAAATAAACAAATTAGTACAGAATTTCAATGAATACAAAGAAAACATTTGAAAACAAACATAATTCCCGAAATTCGATTCAGAAACACAAATGCTACTATGACATATATATATATATATATATATTCGAATTTCATCTGAAGGATCAATTATTTGAGGGCCGTAAATACACAATTTTACTGCGACTACTTAACACCTTTTTCACAAATTGAAAACAAAAGAAACCATGCGTTCTTTACTATGTATGTCTATAAGACAGTACGGAACGTCACGTGATAATACATAACTTAGCGAATTTCACAAAAGAGATAAATAACGTTGAGGTAAACAAAATACAAACAAATAAAGAATTAACAAATAATGAATAAACACTAAAAGTGCCTCACAAATAAAGAGATGTAAGATACAAAAACATGAATCAGTGAATCCATTTTAATGCTCATAATGATGGGCAATAAACTGTCTTCGAAACGTTATCCAGTTAGTGATACTGTATCAGTGTGTTATATCAAAAACTTATCTAATGTGAATAAAATATTCCAATACAATTTCACCACACTGATTTAGTGATATTTGATGCGTGGTCATAGAAGTGAGAGATAATTATTATTTACTCCTTCCGTTCCGACCAGGACATAGAGGGCTTCAGTACTGTATTCAATCCTCTGATATCACTTTCAATTAGCTCCAAGGTTTCTCACAAGTTGGCGTTTCTTCATAACGTGATCTCCTCCAAGTTACTCTGAGAAACAATACTCAACTCGTCGCTTCCAATACGCGTACCACCCGAATGTCTGGTTTGTGATGTCAGTCAATGTTCTGCTTGGTGTATGTCCAGTGCATTTCTGTTGTGACGGTAGAAGACAAGAGACTTCGTAAAGTGATGTTTATTTGGAATTTGATATAACTACACAGCGAAATTATCTTCATCGCACCACTGGCACAGATCTTCTGTGTTGTGCTACTTCTGGCCTTCATATTGTGTTTCTTTGTGTCCATTTCACGTCTTCCATGTTTTTCCACAACGCTGAAACATTTGCTTTCTCTGACGGCAAACATATCTACCTGCTATTTGATATTTTAATGCCAATGAACGTCTGTATATACTACTGATAAATCTTATCAGTAGCACATGGCACACCATTCCGTATGCATATTTGTTGACAAATGTTCTTGGCTGATTAGCTCTGCCTGCCACAGTTCCTCGTCACTTATGCTTCCTGGTCGGTTTGGTCTGATTTTCAATACCGACCACACGTAGCTGATGATTAAAGTCTGCTGCAGCCTGTTGGGAATACTTTTAGTGACACACACGCTGAACTATGTAGTAGCAGTGACTTAACATTAGTATTAGGAATTCAAATCTTTTTCGATATGTTGGATGCAGTGAATCTCCATACTGATTCCAGAGTAATGGGTATCTTCCTACTGTTGTACTATTGTGGTGAGAGCTGTCTACTAGCAAAATTGGTAGACACTGATTTACGTCAATGTTTACGTTCTCAAGATTTGTCGTGAGAAAATATTAACAAGATTGATTCAAAACCGACCACAGCAGACTTTGCGTAGGTGGATACAGTTAACATATAAATGATCTGAAATTCAAGAAACAGTCACAAATAGATGAAAGATTAACTTTAAGTGAGAAACAACCAATCAGAAGACTGTGTTTGTTTGCTTAAATAAACTATATTAATATACATGAAAATATATAAATATGCTTTGATTTCCTTAATAGACGATCTGTTGCCTGGCCCTTGTCATCTGTTGTTAGACTATGACTATTACATTCTCATCCACGCCACTGTCCTTTGTTGAGACGATGCTGATCAAGTAAGTGGAAGGGGCTTCTATTAGTTTTCTACACTGGCTGGTGTTTGCTGTTGGTCGAATAACTTCACCGCCTACGTCTTTTCCATATTCACGGGAAATGCTGTCTTCACTGCGTCTTTTGCCAACTTGTTGGTTTCTGCTTGTGAGATATACAAAACAAATTATCTGAAAGATCCAGATTCCATGCTGACAGAAATTTATTTACGAATGCATTTGTATAAGGTGACGGTACAAAATAAGACAATGCAAGACGTGTACTCATTCTTTTAGTAATCATTTCCTCATGTTAACTATTTTGCAATAGCATTCGGGTTATTTACTTGCGATTTTGTGTTAGAAGTAAAGATATGCATGTGAAAAGGGGTATGCTGAAAATTTTATAATGCTGAAATAAAACCCTGACTGTCTTAATATCAGTAAAAAGTTTGAGCATTGTGGATTAGATCAAATAAAGTATAATTATATTTTAATTAATTATAAGTATTTATATAATTGGAATTGTTCCAACAGTGGTGTGAACACGGGCAGTAATTTTGCTCGAAATATTACCAATAACAAAACTTATCATTGTGTGTAAACTATTAAAATATAATTATACTTTATTTACCCTGACTGTCATTCATTTATAAGAAATTAATAGAAAAGCCATGTAAAAATATAGACAATGAATAAAGGAAAATATAATCCCAGTAAATAATAGTAGTTCCATTAAGTTTGAATATAAAAGTTTCAGCGGAAATAATACATTACTTATGAATAGTAAGGTAAGTGGATAGGAACTTTTTTTGGAATATACATAGATACTTATTTCGTCCACCAAATCATAGTTGTCTATGAGCCAATATATTTGTTTCTTATCAGCCAGTAGGCCATTAACTTATCCACAAAACATCCAATCAATCCTATACATATATCTCATTGACAAAGATCAACAGGGCATTCCACAAATTAAAAAAAAGTCAAATATAATAGAGACAAACAAAATATATTGACGTAAAACGTATACCGATACGTACTTCTTCGTAGCTTTTCTCAGCGAAAGGTTCAGCTGCAAAACTAAACACTTCCCACAAGAGAACACCATACGACCAAACATCAGTATCCAAATGAAATCGCCCATTGAGAATAGATTCAGTCGGTAACCACTTTATCGGTAGAGATTCATTCGAAGTTGAGACAAAATCAACATCAGGTTCAACTGGTCTACACAGTGAAAAATCTGATAATTTAACAATCAGTTTATTTCCAACAAGAAAGCTTCTCGTAGCCACATCCCTGTTTGTGAACAGAAAATTATTTAAGAGCTTAGAAAGTGTATGGCATGACAATAATGAATGTTGCAGTTTACTTTGCATACAAGAGATATTTTTCAAAGTAATGCAAACTCAGATACTCACGGGTAACCTTACTTATGCATTCTAGTCAACACAATCACTAATTCTGAAATATATATGTAGATATGAAATATACAGTATCAGCGTACATAATATATCATAGCTATTGAGATATTTCTACAAAAGGTGATTTTGAAAACACTTTGCACTTTTTTCAGGTTGAAAGTCATACCACTGGCCACCGCTTAGACTCCCAGAAGCTTCAGATCTGCTTGTAGCCTATCTGATTCTTCCGAACACTTCACTACTCTCTATATCTTTACGTCGTCAGCGTATAGAAGAGCCGGGCAGCTTAGACGGCATGGTAGATCATTGATAAAAAAACAAAAACATCAGTGGTCCTTCAAGCTATAAAGAATTCACTGGTGTTCCCTCAACTAATCAGCAAGACCTTTTCATTGTCTTTGAATTTCGTGTCATTTTAAGGGGTGATTTTCAGAAGGAAGCCTTTCAAATCTGTTGAAAAAATGCTGGCAAGTAGTAGTGAGCCAAATATGTCATGTACATATAATAAAGGAGAGTAGCCTCCTGTAATGGTAATCCTTGCAACAAATATCTCTCTGAGGGTCTAATTTCCCTTTGAAAGCCCTCACAGGTGTATCTGATACTACTTGGTCGGGTAAGGAGTTCCATTCGTTGATTACTGTATGTGAGAATCTAAATTCTACCCGTATTTAATTCGTCCTCTGACTGAGCACCATTTTGTGCCGACCACGCAGAGGTATCCTGAAGAAAGAGATAAGTTTAGAGAGATTGATCTGCGAATCAGTATATGTGAAGATATAGCTACTTTTCCTCCTTGGATGAGATAATGGGAAGGGATTTATATGCTCCATCCTCCTCTCATATGGAAGGTGTGAGATAATGCTAGATAATTTCGTTCCTTATCTCTGTGTTCTTTCCAAGATATGTGCCTCCTTCTTGAAGTATGTGCTAGCCGCTTGTGTACAATATTTTGGATGAAGCTTGACATACATTGCGTATGTTATTTTGAACACAGAATCATCTAACCGTTTGAAATCTCTGAAGCACTCGAAAAGCCTACGCTGCAGCTGCATTACAATATGCAGTTATTTTCGAATCATGGCTGACAATAATTCTTAGGGTTTTTCGCCTCTCAACATCAGACAGTATGACTTGTAAGACCTCTGACGTAAGTTTATTACTGCACTTTTCCTGAAAACAGTTTCTAATCTCCAAAGGTCAAACCATTCACTTAGTTCATCTGATCACTTTGTAAGACTGACCTACCATCATCAATATTTACAGTTTCCCAAGTCTTTACGACTTCCGAAAATAATGGCAAAGATAAAATGAGAGTTTTTAGCACTTAATTTGTGTATAATAGAAACAGTTCGGGTCCTAGTACAGTTCCCTGAAGTATTCTACTGAGTACTGTTTTCCACGATGACAATACACAGTTATCCCTTTCCGTTCGCCTCCTAAAAGTAGGCTTGTATCCCTGGCTTCTACACAGTATCCCTAGCCGACAGTAAGTTCCTTAGGCAGGACAGTTTCGGCTGGTTTTCCTCGAATAGCAAGCCATGTTTCTTCATATAGACTAATATCTGATCCCTTATGCCTGTTTCTGCAAGTTTTGCGACACTGCCTGTCAGACTTTCAGGCCGATAGTTAAGCACCAATTGCCTGTTGGTCTGTTTGAAGATGTGGCTTACAATTGCATCCTTCTAGACTTAAATTAGACTAGCTTGAGTTAGAGACCTTTCAAAAATCTCCTTAAGTGAAATGTACATGACATCCTTCAAGGAGGATAAGAGTTTACATTGGCGTCCAACAGGCCCTGGCGACTTACCTGGCCTAAGGTTAGATAGAATCTGGAGAACCACTGAGTCATCTCCTGCAAGTGAGAGTAATTTAAGTGCAACCGCGATGACCTCGCTAGACCCCTAGGTAATACGATCAGACGAGACATAACACATTACTGAGAGGGGTTTCTAGTCTTTGTTTCGTCTGACTCGACCGCCTCTCCAGTACTGCTTATCACTGGCGGTATGCCACTGTTAGTTTTAGTCTTACTGTCAGTGCACGAGTGAATGGCATTAACCTTGCTAAGGTTTTCGTCTTGTGCTTCTTCTGATTCGGCCGCTTCCCCGCTACTGCTCATAAGTGATAGTATACTACTGTCAGTTTTAGTCCTACATTTAATATACTACAGCCCAACACTAACTGTTTCTTGTACTCTTACGAATTTTGCCAGTAATTAAATTTCGAAGGTTCCGAATTTTACGGAAGCCTACCCTCCTTGTTACAGCAAACTGGTCCCACAAGCTTTTTTCTCTTCTTTTCTCTTTCTCTTTCCACTTCACTATTATTCGAGGGGTAGACCAAGGCACAAAGGTAAAATGACACATTTTTATGTATTCCTAAATGTCACCTAAGCTTCTTTGACCGTCTCATTTGCATTGACTGATCAGCTAGTTAAGGCTTCTGTTTTCCAGACTGCCGATATATCCGCCTTCCAAGTGTTTGGACAAGCAGATTTATAAAATCATGAGACATAAGAGTAAAGGTAACTACTATGGGGTCACTAAAAAGATCAGCAATATGGATCTCTGGGAGCAAACCAACCAGGAACCGACTGTGCAACAAATAAGCAGGAAGAAACGGAGGTGGATTGGCCATACTCTGAGGAAACCATCAAGTGACATCACTAGACAAGCCATTGCTCGCGTGGAACCCGAAAGGGAAGCGGCGAGTTGGTCGTCCAAGGGTGACTTGGAGGAGGTCATACTAAGAGGAGATGAAAGCATGTGGGCAAACTTGGAGCCAGGTGAAAACTCCAGCAGAGAACCGAACGCAATGGAGACGCACGGTTGAAGCCCTATGTTCCTCTAGGAATTGAAGGAAACAATAATAATAATAATGGGGTCACTACTGTCTAATGGTGGGAGGCACCTGATGTTGTTAACATCCTGTCTCTGGTATTAGCAATGAGTCCAGAGTAGAGAGACCATGTTTAGAGACGTTTTATGTTGATATACACAGATGCTCCATAAGTGTATACTGGGGCAAATTCTGTATAAGTTCTTTGTCAAAACAGGTATACAAGCTAGTTGATGCTAATTCCTACCAATTAATATGTGGGACATCAAATTCAGCTATTATTTCACATTTATTTTGACTGTCCCTATCTGTCAGGTGATTTGTTACGAAATCATGAGCCTAGCCAGCGTCGGTAGCACAGTGGTTAGGACTCCCGCCGACCATGAACATGGTCCGGGGTTCGATTACCTGCCGACGCACACCCGATATCTATGGTCGGCCTGTAAAATTTGGGCTACCGATATCCATGCTGAAAATTCCACACTTCTACCAAAAAGTACTGTGTGGAATCAAGCTGTAAACAAAAAAAATTCTATGAAAAAACCGATCATAACAGTACTCTCTTTCAAGCTATTAACACAAATTGCAGCTAGTGATCCCATCATGCTCTTCTGAGTCTATAGACCTAATTTTTATAATATTCCCGATGTCCAAAGTAATCTCACCTCCTTCCTTACTAATTATTTTGTCTACTCTGATGCAGGTACATCCCAATATAAGTGAAGTGCCATCCACGCCAAAAACCATGCTTCAGTAATAGCAAAAGAATAAGGCTGTAGCCATTCAGAGGATATCCCAAATTCGGGGAGTTCGCTCACAGGACTACAAGCATGCATAAAAACACTGATACACCTCACTGATCATTCGACTTATGAATGGATGCCACCGCAACAAATGTTTCCAAGACGTCACAACCCGATACCCAGTATTTACAGATCTTTTTCCAGTTCTTCTAATTGGGCCTTCAATTCCATTACATCTTCCCTTCTTTAGGTCCCATGTCACAACGGTCAATCAGGTCTTATCCTCTGTTGGTGGAAATAATATACATCTCCGTCTTGTTCACGAGTACTGTTCTCAATAACCTTCGAGAACCTCCTGCATCATCAGAATGTCGTTTGCAGACTCTGGTCACTTATCCAAAGTGAACTTCATGGGTTTTTTCAGAGATTTAATCACGAATAATAAAACCAACTGCCTTGGGATCACGTGCGTGTCGATTCCTCCAATTTCAGAATGATTACACTATAATCGGAGCTACTTTGGGAAGCTAATTATTTACTCTGTTTGAACGACGTCGAGGTAGCATCCAGTTAGTTTCAACGAGAAAAACTCTCATGATTGTTGTATGACCATCTGTTCCGTTAGAACTGAGCTTAAGCTACACTACCTGCTGACTCTTTGGACTGGCAGCAAAGCTGATCTCAACACACCCCTACCCAGCCAAGCGAGGAAGTAACTCTCCTGGATACTCAAAGGTGTATCTTTTGGCGATTATAGAAATATATCATAGGGACACAGTCACACCACGACGCTACCAATGACCGCTTAACCCTTGAAAATTATACTGACTACCCTGTGTTTTAGCCCCCACGGGGAAACAAATTGATTGGTAACAGGGAAGCGGATCAGGTTCAGTTGATTCATTTTACCGGCTACACCAGAAGGTTTCGAAATGCGATTTCTGGCCGTTGACGTCACAGTTTTGTTTTTCCAGCAGTTTTTCAACTTTTTTCTGACTCCATAATCGTCAACTGTTTTAATGCAAGCAAACGACTGTTCTTTTTCTATACAGCTTGCATCAACGTTTACTGCAGTCAAGCATTTGCGAGGCATTTCAATAAAGGAAGAAATTTGGGGGATAATAATAATAATATATTCTCATTTTGTACATGAGGGACGCCAGTTTACAGGCATCATCAATATGATAAATTACATATACAATTAGTATGCATATTTAATAATAATAATTTACTAAAATACATATTTTTTCCTACCTGTGTAGGACACACCAATTGTACAGGCATGGTCAAGTAT